TCGAACCCTCGGGCTCAGGCAATCCACTCACCTCAGCCTCCCAAAGGCGCGGGATTACAGGCTGAGCCACCAAGCCCGGCTGGTATACATATTTTAAAACCTTCTGATGGGTTAATAATTGGCGACACTAAATGTATATGGCCACAGTCTTATTCCTGTTTCTTCTCTCTTCAATAGAATGTTCCTTAGGGCTCAATCATAGTCTTTTTACATCCTGTGCAGAGATTATTTGCATTTCCACAGAAGTTTCTATTCTCTCTTCCTTCACTTTTTACAAAATCACTTCTCCGTCTGTTGCTTTGCTAAAGACAATAATAATATTTGACTGGGTGCGGTGGCTCATGCCTATAATCCCCGCACTCTCAGAGTCCAAGGTGTGAGTTCAAGACCAGGCTGATGTACGTAGCAAGACCCCCATCTCTACAAAAAATAGAAAAATGAGCCAGGTGTAGTAGCACATGCCTGTAGTCCCAGCTACTTGGGAGGCTGGGGCGGAAGACTTGCTTGAGCTCAGGAGTTTGAAACTAGTGAGCTGTGATTGCCCCACTGCACTCTAGTTTGGGTGACAGACAGTGACCCCCATCTTTTAAAAAAAAAAAAGTAAAATAAGAGTAGCCTTTATCATTTTCTCTTTCTCACCACATATTCTCTTTTCGTTTCTACCAGTTTAGTTTGAGTCCTTACTACTGCTTATATTTCTCCATGATTAACAGTGATTGTCTTAACAGATCTTCCTGTTTTTGCAAAGAATGAGTCTTAACCATCAGCATGCTATCACCTGTGAAGTCTTCAGTTATTTTCTCTTCCTGATACCTCTCTTGACATCATAGTTCAGGTTCTTAGCTCTTGCCTAGACAGTATGTGCTGTTGACCTCGGATTCTCCAGCTGGCCTGCAGATACTGGCCGATTTGATCATCTAATGCCCGATCAAAGTCTTTGGATATGCCCATCACTCTTGTCTTCTCAACCTGGATTTTAAGATTATTTCAACTAGAACCTAAACTTTTCTATCCATATGTATATTTATTTTTACAGCTTTCCCCTGCACAGGCCAGCAGAACAGCTTGCTGTTTTTTTTAGTTATGAAGTGAGATTTTGAACCGGGTATGGGCATTCACACCTGTAACACCCATACTTAGGGAGGCCAAGGCAAGAGGATTCCTATAGCCCAAGAATTTGAGACCAGCCTGGGCAACAAAGTGAGACTTCATCTCTACAAAAAGTAAAAAAAAAAAAAAATTAGCCTGGTATGGTGGCACACACCTGTTGTCCCAGCTACTTGGGGGCTGAAGCAGAAGGATCACCTGAGCCTAAAAGGTCAAGGCTGCAGTGATCATGCCACTGCACCACAGCCTGGGTGACAGAATGGGGCCCTGACTCAAAAAAATAAAAATAGAGTGATATTTTGCAGACAGGACAGCAGAAGCAAAATCACAAGGAAAGGGCAAATTATATGTGGCAGATGAGGATAAAGTTTCAGGTGAAAGTGGAAAGAGATTGGGTCAGCGTCTGGGATCTTGGATAAGATTCTAGGAGAGAGGGAAGCACTGAAGAATTTTTAGTAAAAAATTTATATGATTATTCAGATTTGCATTCTAGGTAGGTCACTCTGGCTTGAGTATGGAAGATGTGTTTGAAAAGAACAAGACTTACAGCAAGAAAACCATTTGAGAGGCTCTTAAAGTAGTCCAGATGAGTTGAAGTCACTGGTGGCAAGGAGGGCTGGGAGGACAGGATAGTTACTTTAGAGGCACAATCGATAGGACTAGATCAGTGTGATGGAAGGAATGATAAAATTGAGGGAGGAATCACAGCTGGCTCTCAGGTTTGTCTTTTGTGTGTCTGCTTGATGCTACTAGGATAGAGCCTACAAAGATCAAATTATAAAAGAAGAGCAGAAAACTGAGGAAATGTAGCATTCACCCTTCCCCCACAAAGGTACTGAAGATGGGTAATAGTGTCAAAGACAAACATAAGGTTCCGTAAAATCAGAATTTTATTTTTATTTTTTTGAGTCAGCGTCTTATGCCGTCACCTAGGCTAGAGTGCAGTGGCACAATCGCAGCTCACTGCAACCTTGACTTAAAATAGGAATTTTGAATTGCTAGATTTGACGGGATACTGTTGACCAGTTGAGTAAAAACCTTTTTTAATTGAAGGTTGGAGCAAAGCAAGATTGCAGTGATTTGAGTAGGAGGTGATGTGTCAAATACAGACATGTGTAAGATTATTTCTTTAATGCGGTTGAGTTGACACTGGGAGTTACTGGCTGATAATTAGGCAAGGTTAGGAGAGTTTTTGTTTGTTTTTGTTGTTTTTTTAGAGTTGGAGTCTCACTCTGTCGCCCAGGCTAGAGTGCAGTGGCACACTCATGGCCACCCCAGTGTCACCCTGCTGGGCTCTGGCGATTCTTCTGCCTCAGCCTTCCAAGTAGCCGGAACTACAAGAGTGCACTACCACACCTGGCTAGTTTGTTTATTGTAGAGACGAGGTCTCACCAAGTTGCCTGGGCTGGTCTCGAACCCGCAGGCTCAGGCAATCCACTCGCCTCAGCCTCCAAAAGTGCTGTGTTTATAGGCTGAGCCACCGAGCCCGGCCTGTTCTTTTTTTTTTTTTTTTAAGATGAGACACTTTGGAAAATATAGACTCTAGAGAAATTGTGAAAGAGGAGTTTAGAGACACAGAATTTAAAGTGTGGAAAGGATTGGAAGTAAGATAACAGAGGACACAGGAGGGAATAGGTTAAACAAATAGTTGAACAATTGACCTTGAGCAGGAGAGTTCCTTATCCTCTTGAGAATGGAAGAAAGTAGAAAGGATTGTCTTAGATGTCTGTCCCCTTTTTTTGAGTCGGAGTCTCACTTTGTCACCCAGGCTGGAGTATCGTGGCAGACTCTTGGCCACCACAACCTCAACCTGCTGGACTCAGGAGATCCTTCTGCCTCAGTCTTACAAGTAGATGGAACCACAGGAATGTGCTACCACTCCTGGCTAATAATTTTTTATTTGTTGTAGAGATGAGGTCTTGCCATGTTGCTCAGGCTGATCTCAGAGCCCTGAGCTCAGGCAGTCCTCTTGCCTCCACCTCCCAAAGTTCTGGGATTATAGACATTAGCCACTGTGCCTGGGCAGTTATCTGTCCTTTAAAACATAGCTGCCACTTTTACCCTTAGTCTATGTTTCTCTATAAATCTTCTGTTTGCCAAGTTCATCAGAGTACATTTGTTTAGTTAATATTTAGCGTAAGGTATAAGCAAGCCAAAGAAATATTGTACTTGGTTTTTTTGTAATACTTGTTTTACTCCTTATTTTGTTTATGAATAAAATCTGTTGGTTTTGCTCTCAAAACACTTTACTCAGTGTTGCACATGGAATTTATTCTTGTCAGATTTGCCTCTTTTATCATGAGTAAAAATGATGACTGTTGTGAGACTCTGTAAACCTAAATAGTGACTAAGTCAAGTCAGTGTTATAGATTGTTTTGATTAGTGACATCTGCACATGGTGTATGCTGTAAGACATACTTTATTATTCCTGTTAAATTAGCAGCTGGCCTTACATTAAATAAGCAGTTGTACTTTTTAAATGATTTACTTTTAAATGATTTACTTTTTAAAATCTCCATAAGATAAATAAGGATTGTTTCTGTTTGCTAAATGAAACAGCAATTAAAGTATTTTCTCAACTTACTTAGTATATTTATGTTTTACTAAATTTATAGTAGGAAATTTTAACTTTAATCCTATATATAAGTCGTAATAGGAGTAAGATCTTGAGCCAGATCTACTTTCAATATGAAGAAAATGATGAACTTATTAATGCTAATAACTGTATTTCATATTTTAGAAATATATTTTTAATGTGCTAGTAAGTAGTACAACTGAAGTCGAAATTGAAGGTTTCATATGTAAGTAGAGGGGTTCTGGTACGGTGGAAAATCTCTATACCAGGAGTTAGGAGGCCTGAGAACTAGAATTCTAGTCCCAACCACGGCACTGAATTGACCATATTCTTGAACAGTTGGCTTATTTAATCTCTCAAAAGCAAGCAGTTTGGCCTAGGTCATATACTTTCTAGCCTTAAAAAAAAAATTTTTTTTTGTCTCCCAGGAGAGTGCAGTGGCAGGGTCATAGCTCACTGTGACCTCAGCTTCCTGGCTTCAGGTGATCCTCTCACCTCAGCCTCCTGAGTAGCTGAGACTACAGGCATGCACCACCATGCCTAGCTAATTTATTTTTTATGGAGACATGGTCTCACTATGTGCCTAGGCTGGTCTATATCTTGGGCTCGAGCAATTTTTTCACCTTTATTTTGGCTTAAGGCCCATGGAGTTTTACTTTTATAAAGCTATAATGCCAACTCATACTGATATAAGTATGGTATATTTTTATATTTGAAAATGGAAATATGAGGCTGGGCACCATAGCTCATACCTACAATCCTAGCACTTTGGGAGTTCAAGGTGAGAGGATTGCTTGAGGCCAGAAGATTGAGGTAACAGTGAGTTGTGATGGCACCACTGCAAACCAGCCTGTGCAAAAGCCTGTCTCTTTAAAAAAAAAAAAAAAAGAAGAAGAAGAAATGCAAATGTGTGTTTTAAATTAGAATCTTGTACCTGGTATATTTTATGGGACTTCTACATAGAATAATTTTTGTAGGCAAAAAGAGGCCAGGCACGGTGGCTCAAGCCTGTAATCCCAGCACTTGGAAGTCTGAAGTGAGAGGATTGCCTGAGCCCACAGGTTCAAGAACAGCTTGGGCAACTTGGTGAGACCTCATCTCTACAATAAAAAAAAATTGGTTTGGTGTGGTAGTGTGCGTCTGTAGTTCCGACTACTTAGAAGGCTGAGGTGGAAGGATCACCAAAGCCCTGCAGATCGATGCTGGGGTGGCTGTGAGCGTGCCACTGTACTCCAGCCTGGGCGACGGAGTGAGACAATCCCCCCTCCAAAAAAATTAGAATAAATAAACTAAAAGATTCCACTCTTATGTCACTAATATATATTTACTTATTTATTATTGTAGAGACGAGATCTCACCAAGTTGTTCCGCCTGGTCTTGAACTCCTGGACTCAGGCAATCCTCTCACCTCAGCCTCCCAAAGTGCTGGGATTACAGACATGAGCCTCTGTGCCTCATTAATAGTTAAAACTTTGCTTTTTTCCAGTGGGTTTTCAACATTTTTAACAAATAACAACTTTTTTGCTATTTTGGTTGCAACATAAGATGTAGCCTCTTTAAGGTTCCAAATGTAGAAATGCAATCAACCTTAATTCCTACATGAAAAACCTTTAATAAATAGTTATATTTCTTGTTATTTTTTAAATTGATAATAATTGTACATATTCATGGAATGCATAGTGATATTTTGATACATATAATTATAGTGATCAGATTAGGGTAATTGGCATACCTGTCACATAGCTGTTTTTAATTTGTACTTGTTTCTAGAGAATTTTAGGCTCAAAGGGAGGAGGGCTTAGTAAATAAAATGAATGAAAGGACATTGATCCCATCCTCTTACATGTGTTTCGTTTGATTTAGTAGTAATTGTGTCTTTTGCTTTGCATAGACTCAAATCCAGTACCTCAAGCAAGTCCAGCAGCCGAGCGTTGCCCAACTGAGATCAACAATGGTAGACCCAGCGATCAACTTGTTTTTCCTAAAAATGAAAGGTGAACTGGAACAGACTAAAGACAAACTGGAACAAGCCCAAAATGAACTGAGTGCCTGGAAGTTTACGCCTGATAGGTAAACAAATCATACTCCCCAGTCAAGACTTCCCTGACAGTCCCACTACGAGAAAGCTGTGGTGGGACAGCCAAGTACTCGTTTCCACACCAAGACTCAGACTTTTTGAGCCAAAAAAGCCACATTTTATTCTGTCCAGCTTGTAATGGTTAATGTAAATCTTACCAGATGAACCTTGTGTTTCAGCTTTTTTCTCTTCCCCCTTCCCCTTGCTTCAGAGGCCTGATGCCGTCGGACTATTCCGAAGAAGTGGCTACCTCCGAAAAATTCCCCTTCTAGGACATGTAGACACTTGAGAAATGTTTCTGTTTGAAGAAAATAGAGGGAGAAACAGAAGTCTTAAGTCTGTGGCACACTGTGTCTTCAGACAGTGGAGGAATGAAAACCTAGAGATTTTAAATCGTGAATTGAACATGTAAAATTCCAGTAAAATGTAAAAATGGAATATGCATCGCTCTTAACCTTAAGCATAGTGACTTAGAGACACTGTATATCAGTTTTGCCAATAAGACTGTGGACTTCGTGATTGTTGAACTTCTGGGTCAAAACTCGAATGAGGTGAATTTTGCCTTTAAAGAGTTTTTTCGTTGTTGTTTTTTGTTTTTTTGCTAAGAAGCAACTTTTAATAGTCATGAGAATCAAATAATAGATGTCAGTACAAGTAGTTTATATATTTAACCATTTCATTTGGGGCTCCTATATTACTTGAGTGAGCCTTAAATCATTGTGGTTTTAATCAAAGGTTTATTCTTTGAATGGTTGCAAAAACTGTAGATAATCTTACTGAGGACTGTACAAACATTAAGGTGTGGTATCAAACTTCAGGTTTAAACTGTTTGAAGCATTATAAACATTCATTTCACAACTAGATTGTATAAGGATGTTGGCTGTGATGAGACTCACTGCGTTATTTTTTTCAGTAGTGACGATGAAATCCTCATTTCATTCAACAGGCACATGTTTAAAAGAGCATTGTCGTTGGTGTTAATGGGGGAATGTGTTCCTTCATTGTATTTGGGCTGTTTGTATTGCACTCTTGATATTAAATTAAATGTGCCTTGAAATAGTTGGGGTTTTTTTTTTTTAAGTTCAAGGAATACTATGATGATTTTGTTGTACTCTTAACATCTTACTTTGGGGGGCTGTGGAGAGCAGATTGATTTTGGAAATACTGTTGCTGTGCTCTTCAAAGTGAAGGAAAAGGCGCTGTCTCATTTTTAAAAGACTTTTCAGCTGGTATCATAAAAGGAGACTTGACAATTGTTACTTTTTTGACACTTTGTCCCAGGATATTCCAGTAGAAATTAATGTGGGACAGCTTCACAGGGTGCCTGCCAGAAGATAATGTGTTGGAACTATGGGCTGGCCTAAGTAAGACATTTTGTGAATTGAAAAAAGGTATAGTGATCATTTCTAGTAAATTCATTTGATCATTTAGATAAATGAGGCATTATTATCTTCATGCTTCCATCCAATTCTGGAGGTGATTTTTTTTTCGTCAGATCATTCTATAAATCACCAATTCAAATTTCGCTTGGTGATAATGGAGTCTAAGATGAGTGGAAGATAAATGTTCCGGCTTGTCCCAACGTTTAAGTGCAATTTTAACATGGGTGACTTAAGTTCTCTCTTAATCATTCAAATCAATTGTAAGTATCTTGTATGTTTGTGCTTTAGGGAACTGATTGTGGGGCAGAGGGTGGGTTGAAGAAGTGGTTTGTGTGACTTTTCAGCAAGAAATTTGCTTCTAAAATTCTCACTATTTGTGAGGGTTGGAGGGTAAGTAACCAACTGTTTGAAATTAATTTATTATGCATGCATTAATAAGGGTTTTCTGTGTATTTTATGCCACTAAAATCACAGTAGAAATGGCCTAAGTATATTTTTAGTAGGTCAAGAATTAATTCATAAAATGTGTTGTTAACTTGTACTCAAATTTAGCCAGCATCTTTCTTTGCCACTTAGGTAACCGTCACTTTGAGGGCTATCTTTTTTATTTTTTTTTTTTTTGGTCATTGTTAAAATTTTCTCTTTTAATTAATAAGATAATACATGTTTTTGTACAAAATGGAGATACTGTAGAGAAAGATGTAAATGAAAAGTGAGTCACTCCTGGGTGTGACTTTGACCTTCTCAGTTCTATTCTTCAGGAGCAGTAACTGCTGTACAATCTCTTGGGTAGATAATTTCTATGCATATACAATCATTCTATGTATATCGGTTTTAAACAAATGTGATCATACCGTAAATACTTATGACTTGCGATTTGTTTTTTATTTTTATCTATTGGACAGTTCTCCATTTTTTAGTGTATCTAGACTACTACATTTTAATGGCTACATTGTAGTTCCATTATATTAAGGGATCATTTTATTTTAATCACCCATGAATGGATTTTTATTCTGTAAAATTAGGCTATAAGCCAGAGTGTGTCAGGTCTTATAAATATAACACTTACTTGAAACATGTAATGCTCAGTTCATCCCGTCTGGAATATTTCAAATAGACTGAATGTTGGTTGTGTGTGTGTGTGTGTGTGTTTGTTTGTGTGTTTTCACCTTTCTGTTTTTCTCAATTTTTATTTTGCCCACTTCATGTGACAACTCATATGTTTTAGAGTGCTTAGAGGGATATTGTTCAGTAATTTGACGGTTTTTGTTTCATATTTAATCATTTAGGTAATCGTGTGTTAAATCTCCAAAATAGTCTTGTTCCCTTCCCCTTGATAACTAAAACAATGTACAGTATTCACTCCTTCTTATAAAATCCTTTTGACGTATTTTTCTATTATATATGCTTTGTGGGTTACTTGATTTTCAGAATGAATTGAATTGTAATTTTAAAGATTATTTTTTAAAAATTATTTGTAATTTATCATTTTTTGTGATGTGATGAGCACAACACAAATTTTACAGTTAATAAAATAACAAAGTTACAGAATGTTTAAAACAGTTGTTTTGTTAAGAATTATTTTAGTGACCACTAGTTTTAGGCATGATAGGATAATCTTAGCATGGGCATTTATTTATAAAAAGGTATGGCTTTTTAAACAAAACCTTTTTGTGTTTGAATTTGTGACGTTTTTGCATGGGGTTTAAGTCAGGTCACAAATTAATGTGTTTTACAGTTGTCTATTTTCTGTGTAAGAAATTTCAGGTTAGTTGCAAACACTGATGCTATATACTTTTCAAGAAAACAGAGTTGTGAGAACATAGGCAGTAAAGTGAAGGAAATTTTGACAGTCATGTCTCTCTCATTTCCTCATTGTTTGATTTCTAAGTGCATGTCACTGAAGGCTAAAGCCTGAGAGTGTTACTGGCAAATGGGAGAAATCTAGCAGTCAGCAAGAACACCATGAAAAAGCGTAAGACCGTTACCAGGCGCCAGCTTAAAATGGCTTTCACCTTGGCTCCTTTGAACAGTAGTAACCCAGGTTTTACTGTTCTGAAGATTTCTGCAAGGAGGTTTAATTTTAAAGTTTTGCTTGAATTATATTAAGTTAGAACATATGGTATGGATTTTTTAAAAGGCGTTGTAACACTACTTCAAAGAATGAGAATTGCTTACAAAGTGCTTCCATTTTAAAAGTTGTAAGGCATACTGAAGTGTAATGTATCAGAAATGAAAGCCCTGCTAGAAGGAGGAAAGATTAGAATTTAAAAAGTGTTTATTAACCACTGAGGTCATTCTGGACTTAACACAGTAACAAGAATGTCAAATTGTCTGTCCAAATGTCAGAGGGTAATAACACAATAATTAATTAAATATTTAAGTCAGAACTCTTTTAAAAATGATAATAACTTCTACTTTTATCACTGAAGCTAAAGAAAAGCAGTGAAGTTTTATTGAGAAACTTTACACATTCGCGACTGGCAAATTTTTAACTTTCCTTATATGAGAGCAGGTGACAATAAAAAAAAATCTGAAGCTGGTTCCCACATATTTCTTTTGTTAAGCACAGATGAAATGGGTCTTTTCTAAATTTTCACCGTTGCAATACAACTGGAAGTTGCAGGCATATCCAGTATTTGCCTCAGACACCTCTCTGACTAACATTCCATACTTTGTATTTTTATTCAGATTATAAACCCCAAAAGACAGTCTTCCATGATGAGGTAAATTCAGTCAGTGGCAACCAAGAACAGAATTTGGAATGACATAAATTAATGTCAGTGGTTGCAAATGAGTTAAGAGAAAGTCTTAAGGCTCAAAAAAAATTTGTAATTGCTTAATGTGCCTCAGTAGATGCATTCTAAAGAGGTATGGAAGATGAATATACCAGAACAGACTTTGAAGAAGAATCCTTATTAAATGTTTTTCTAGCAAGAGTAAATATACTGTCACTCATTTATAATTGTAGGCACTGGTTTTCATATATTAGATACTTCAGAGAAGCACACATTTGTGACTAATGTTGCATGTGCCTTTTCAAGAACTTTCCTGATTGGTAAAGTGTTAAGGACTTTAGTGTTGTAATAACATTGGTATATCGAAGATGTGTGCTAATTTACTGGCTTGTTTCTATTTTAAATGATAATTTGGGATGAAAATAGATTTCAGAATTGGTTATTGATGTAATAGAACAAAAAGCCATTTGGGCACTTTTTGTTTAGGGCTTATTTTTGCTGCTGTATTGGCAAAATACTGAAATGCGGAAGATGGACATGTTCCTGAAAAGAAGATGGTAATCATAGGGTGGTATCTGCTGTGACATAGTGCTGTTCTGTACGTGTTGCATCTATCATGTAATGATTGTAAGCAAAGAAGGTTACAGAGAGTTTCGTCTTCATTTTGTGATGGATGGCTCTTTCCTTTGCAGCCAAACAGGCAAAAAGTTAATGGCGAAATGTCGAATGCTTATCCAGGAGAATCAAGAGCTTGGAAGGCAGCTGTCCCAGGGACGTATTGCACAACTTGAAGCAGAGTTGGCTTTACAGAAGAAATATAGTGAGGAGCTTAAAAGCAGTCAGGATGGTAAGGGTTTGTTTGTTTTTTTTTAAGTTCACTTCACTTTGCACTGGCTTTAAAAAACTGCCAGGCATGTTTAGATTAGATTCTGTTCATGCTAATCTCTGCCTATGATTATATAAGATTATGAATGAAACGTTTTTAGTTAAGTCAGCAAAGCTACTTAATTTTAGTTTGTTTTTTCCCCATGTTAATTGCTTATTGTGCAGATTTCTTAAGTTTTTGTTTTTAGTAGGGGATAGGGTTTGATAAAAGTTTTGTATTACTAATACGTACACAGTTATATTCAGTGTTTGAAAAAGAACATCTTTAACCATTTCTCTTAAGTGTAAATCTTGGGAACATTTGGCAATTTCCAATAGTCTGAAAATAATACAATTTGTTGTTAATATTCTGTTGGTGAACCGGGCTCGGTGGCTCAGCCTGTAATCCCGCGCCTTTGGGAGGCTGAGGTGAGTGGATTGCCTGAGCCCGCGGGTTCGAGACCCACCTGGGCAGCGAGACCTCATCTCTACAATAAATCAAAAAATCAGCTGGGCGTGGTAGCGCATGCCTGTAATTCCAGCTATTCGGAGGGCTGAGGCGGAAGGATTGCCGGAGCCCAGCAGGTCGAGGCTGCGGTGGCCGGGAGCAGCCACTGCACTCCAGTCTGGGTGACAGAGTGAAACTCCAACTCAAAAAAAAAAAAAGATTCTGTTGGTGAATGAGGGATGTAATATTTAACCCTTTGCATTTGGAGACATCTCGCAGACTACCTACCAGCGACTCGACTGCACCCTTTTACCAAATAATGAAAAACGAATCGCCTCATATTACACAGTATAGTTTTGGAAGCTTTTTTTTTTTTTTTTGAGTTGGAGTCTCACTGTCACCCAGGCTGGCGTACAGTGACACATTCACGCCACCACAGCCTTGACCTTTTCACCTCAGACTTCCAAGTAGCTGGAACTACAGGCGCATGCCACCATGCCCAGCTAATTTTTTGATTTATTGTAGAGACAAGATCTTGCCAAGTTGTCCGGGGTGGTCTTGAACCTCCGGGCTCAAGCAGTCCTCTCGCCTCCACCTTCCAAAGTGCTGGGATTACAGGCGTGAGCCACTGCACCTGACTAGAACCAGTTATTTTATTGTAATGATATTTGGCTAATGAAATTTTGGACATTGAGGAACTTATGACAAAAAGATCAGAATTTTATGTCTTATGTTTTTCTAACGTGTGGCAACATGTGAAATAGTCATCAGCATACATTGTGGGTTCACTGATACATGTTGTGCAGTAGTAATTTGATGTCTCCCACCTGGTGTTTTTCTATTTGAGCAGACAGTGCAGTCTCATTTTCTTTCTCCAGCATTAATATGTAATTTGTTGCTTGAAGACATTGTGTAAGGACAGATTCATGAGTCCTAAAAACTATTTCTCAACTGATTGATCATAGCTCAGTATATATTCCATCTCTTTATTTGCTTTTTCGTGCAATTTGAATGAAAAACTTGAAGGAAACATACATTTTTGAAAAATTTGTGCTGGCATAAGTTTGTCCTGTATAACCATCAGCAATCTCTCTTTTTGTTGTTGTTGTTAGAGTTGGAGTCTCACTCTGTCACCCAAACTGGAGTGCAGTGGCTGCTCCCGGCCACCGCAGCCTTGACCTGCTGGGCTCCGGCGATCCTTCTGCCTCAGCCTTCCGAGTAGCCAGAATTACAGGCACACGCTACCACGCCTGGCTAATTTTTTGATTTATTGTAGAGATGAGGTCTTGCCTGCCCAGGCGGGTCTCGAACCCGTGGGCTCAGGCAATCCACTCACCTCAGCCTCCCAAAGGCATGGGATTACAGGCTGAGCCACCAAGCCCGGCTAGCAGTCTCTTATATGTCCCCTGAGAGGGCACATCTGAGTGGTTTACTAGACTTTTAGGGTGTCCCCCCAGAAGGGACATCTGAGTACAAAGGGCGCAACATAGACCCTATGTCTATAAAAGTAATTAGCTGGGTGCTGTAGCATGTGCCTGTATTCCCAGCTACTTGGGAGCCTGAGGTGGGAGCTATGATCCCACAGGTGCACTCCAGCCTGAGTGACAGACTGAGACCTTATTTCAAAAAAAAAAAGTACTAAGATGAACAAATTTAATTGTCAGCCTCCATCCTTTTTTGTGCAAATGTAGTCACATCTGTGCTATTTCTCCTCTTTGTGAGGGACATTAATAATAAGGAAAATATCCAAACTGCTTGAAATTTTAAATTGAAAATTAACATATGTGATGGTTAACTGCAGAGACGATCAGTAGCCAAGTAATACCTTTTAAGACTGTCTTTTCAGAATCTTCAAGAATTATTTTCTGTCACTTTTTTTGAGTCAGTTTTTTTGAGTCGGAGTCTCACTCTGTCGCCAAGACTGGAGTGCAGGTGGCCGCTCCCGGCCACCGCAGCCTCGACCTGCTGGGCTCCGGCGATCCTTCCGCCTCAGCCTTCCGAGTAGCTGGAACTACAGGCACGCACTACCACGCCCGGCTAATTTTTTAATTTATTGTAGAGATGTGGTCTCGCCAAGTTGCCCTGGCGGGTCTCGAACCCACGGGCTCAGGCAGTCCACCCACCTCAGCCTCCCAAAGGCGTGGGATTACAGGCAGAGCCACCGAGCCCGTTCTATGACTTTCATCCTTAAATATGGAACAGTCTTTGAGTAGCGCATAGGCCTCTTTGGAATGTGTTAGAGTAGAGGTCCACACTGTCCTTAAGGGCCAGTCCTGCTGTGAAGCTAGGGCACTGGCTAGGAGGGTGAAGAATAAGGGGTCTGGTCAAGGTGGGCTCACAGGTAAACATGGATCAGATTTTGGGGCCTGAAATCAGTTGTATATGTAATTACAAGATGACCCAAATCAAATGTACCTTGGTTGCTTAATACAGTCATCCCTCGGTACCCATGGGAAATGGATTCCAGGACCTCCTGCAGTTCCCAAATTCTGCTAATGCTCAAGTCCCTGATGTGCAATGGCCTGGTATTTTCATGTTGTCTCTATGCATCTTCCCTTGAAACCATTTCTAGATTACTTATAGTACCTAATGTAACGTAAATAGTTGTTACACTGTATTGTTTAGGGAATAGTGACAAGAAACCAAGTCTGTACACGCTTAGTACAGACACAATTTTTAAAAAGATATTTTCACTCCACTGTTGATTAAATTAATTCTTGGATGCAGGGCCCATAGATAAGGAGGGCCAGCTGTATATTATTTTAAGCATGGGCTGTCTCCCTAAACAAACTCACTCTTGAATGACTATTTTATAGTTCCAAGCAAAATTTTAAAATGCATTGTTGTGATTTTAGAATTGTATTTGTTTACTTAATAAGTATTTATTTGACTGGCTTGCTTTGCAGCAGGCACTTAGAAGTGTGTTTAAACGTTACTAGAGTAATTAAAGCAGGTTTGGCTCTCCCTTGCACAGAACTGAATGACTTCATCATCCAACTTGACGAAGAAGTTGAGGGAATGCAGAGCACCATTCTGGTTCTTCAGCAGCAGCTGAAGGAGACGCGCCAGCAGTTGGCTCAGTACCAACAGCAGCAGGCTCAGACCTCAGCACCGAGTACCAGCAGGACTACATCTTCTGAACCTGTAGAGCAGGTAGAGGCCACAAGCAAAGACTGCAGTCGGCTGACCAACGGACCGAGCAATGGTAGCTCCTCCCGCCAGAGGACGTCTGGGTCTGGATTTCACAGGGAGGGGAACACAGCCGAAGACGACTTTCCTTCTTCTCCGGGGAATGGGCATAAGATCACCAACAGCTCAGAGGAGAGAACTGGCAGAGGAGGTAGTAGTTACACAAATCAACTCAGTACGGGGTATGAAAGTGTAGACTCTCCCACGGGCAGTGAAAACTCTCTCACACACCACTCAAATGACACAGACTCCAGTCATGACCCTCAAGAGGAGAAAGCAGTGAGTGGGAAAGGTAACCGAACTGTGGGTTCCCGTCACGTGCAGAATGGCTTGGACTCCAGTGTAAATGTACAGGGTTCCGTTTTGTAATGTTTTTCCAGCAAATTTTTATACAGTGTCATTTAATTTGGGAGAGGATACTGTTGAGATAATTAATGCATACTTTTGTCACAATTTGCCTTCTTGTGGGTGTGTTTGTTTTTGTTTGTTTTGTTTTTTTGCTTCAATACCTCTGCCACTTTGGAAATTGTAACAGTTAATTTCTTTGAATGTTGCTAAAAGGACATTTTGTGTAGGGTCAGGTTATTTTTATATGAGTTAATGTGAAGTTGTAAATGGAAAGCTTTCCTTAAAATATAACACAATGATGTCTGTATAAATCTGTGTCTATTTAGAACCTGTGCTGTGTAAGGGCATTCTTACTCATGCTGTTATTACCCTTATGCACCATTCAGACTTGTTAGCATAGATGTGGGTTTATGACTGCCAAGTTTGCCCAGTACAGTAGTTTTTTATCACTAAAAGTTGGACTTACTGATGGAGTCCTATAGTAGTTTCAGTGTTAGTAGATACAGTTTTTTCCACCATACATCTGTGCATTTTCTCTTTAGGTGACTGAATGTTTAAGAAATTTGTGTGCATAGTTACTCAGTTTTTATGAACTGTTGTATCCTGTTAATGCATATTGCTCTGTGACTCCAGTATATCTATCTTACCTGTACTGACCAAACCTAAATAAAGATTTTTATTGTAACTCCTTCATTCGTTTTTTGTTTTTTCTAGTTGTATGTTAAGAATATGTCATTTAGGCCTGGCTCGGTGGCTCAGCCTGTAATCCCAGCACTTTGGGAGGCCGAGGTGAGTAGATTGCCTGAGCCTGCAGGTTTGAGACCCGCCTGGGCAACTTGGCAAGACCTCATTTCCACATAAATCAAAAATTACCCGGGCGTGGTAGCGCACACCTATAGTTCCAGCTACTCCGAAGGCGGAGGCGGAAGGATCGCCGGAGCCTAGCAGGTCGAGGCTGCAGTGGCTGGGAGCGGTCACTGCACTCCCGTCTGGGTGATGGCGTGAGACTCCAACTCCAAAAAAAAAAAAAAGAATATGTCATTTATTTTCCTTGAATCATTGAATTTCTACCCATCCTTCAACATACCACAAATGTGAAACTTAAGTCCATGCATTAAATTTGTGCACATAATTTTTAGGTTTAAGTTATGTCTTCTTTTACAAAATGAAGTTGGAGTCTGGAGCTAACTATGCTTTACTTTTTTTTTCTTGACATAAAGGTTATTGTTAGATATTTGAAAATATACAAAAAGTATAATGAAAATAGTCATCTAAGTATTTGTTAGGTTTTAATTGTAAAGCAGAATTTGGTGTTTGTGGCCTGATTAAAAAACAAAACAGTATCTGTTTAGTTAAGGGCTGTTTGAAAACATTGACCAGCACTAACAATTTTCACTAACAACATAACTAGTAATATTACACGAGTTAGGCTGTGGGGTGTTAGCAATGTAGAAGAAAATGTGGAAGACTTAAAGTTTGCGCCATTTTCTCCAAGGTAATTAAACACTGAGTATCAAGGTCTATCATACTAGATGACTTTAGAATCTATAGCTTTTCATATATGGTTGAGATGAAACGTCATTTCTGCTAAAAGCAACATAGTTGTTTCAGACATAACTTGTAATATAATCGAAGAATCTCAACACTGAAAATAACTGCTATTTTTGCTTGTTTAGCTGCCATATGGGTATATGTGGTCTTCAGTGATGTATTTAAAATATACTGGGCTGGGCATAGTAGCTCACACCGATAATCCCAGCGCTTTGGGAGGCTGAGGTGAGAGAATTGCCTGAGCCCATGGGTTCAAGACCAGCCTGGGCAACTTGGCGAGACCCCATCTCTACAGTAAATCAAAAAATTAGCCAGGGGTGGTGGTGTGTGCCTGTAGCTCCAGCTACTTGGGAAGCTGAGACAGAAGGAAAACCTGAGTCCAGCAGGTTGAAGCTGCAGTGACCATGAGCATGCCACCGCACTACAACCTGGGCAACAGAGTGAGACTCCAACTCAAAAAAAAAAACACTGGGTTTTTACTGAATTTTGGAGGCAGAGTCTCCTTTTGTTGCCCAGGCTGGTCCTGAATTGGCTTCAAGCAAATCTGTTGAGATAACGGTGTGAGCCACTGCACCCAGCCTGCACTCCTTTGATTAACCTTTTTGCCGTCTGCTCAAGTGAATAAATGTTCCTACACAGCTTTAAATTTGTGTGTGGTTAAAACATTTTTGGTGAGAAATAATATTCCCTGGATATATCACATCAAATACTGTTTGGCTTCTGTTATGTATGGCCTTCACCTTGATCAATTTAAACCAAAATCAAATTTCTGTATCCTGTTGGTATTATGTCATCATTCGTATGTGATAGGAAATTAATTTTTCAACTAGTGATACAACTTTGACTAAATTTCATACAGACCTGTTAATGTGACACTTTGACCTTCCTATTTAAGCCACCTTGGTGAGTCACTTAGAGGACTTGGCTTTTGTACATAGAGTCAATAATCCTCGTCTCTATAATTGGATGTGCTATTTGCTGGTATGATTATGATAGGAGAGGTGATTATGATAGGAGAGGTGAAAGGTGAGAGAGTGGCTTCCAGAAGCTAACATGTGGATCCTGGCATTACACTCACTACCTTGGACAACTGCTTATTCTCTGTGGCTCTGTTTTGTTCCCTGTAAAAGAGCGTTCAGTAAGTTAATATATGTAAAGTGCTTATAAAAGTGCTGACTCAGCGTGGAATGCTATGAAAGTATACCACAGACTGGGTAGCTTAAACACATTTATTTCTCACCATTCTGGTGCCCGAGAAGTTAAGATCATGGTGTCCCCTGACTTGGTTCCCAGTAGAGTCCTCTTAGAGCAGCAGGTGTCCGTTTCCTTGGCTCCTCAGCTGTATTTTATAGAACCAACTACAGTTTTTGAGATACTTGCAAAATCACGCAAAACCAGTCTTTGTGACAGTTCTCAGAGGCTCCCTCTGTCGCCTGAGTAGTTGTCCCTTGCATTCAGTCATTGCTCCTCTGATGACATTGTCTTGGGAGTTCACCCCTCCCCATGGCTATAATAGACACTTGCAGCCCTGGGTGATGTCATCACCTCTGATCCGGATCCAAATGAGCAATTGTGCTGAGCCACTTCTTGTGTGCTGCCGACCCCCATCTGGCAAATCCACTTTGGTGATTCACTGCTCCGGCCAGATTCCAAGGAGGGAATTTGCTGCTTGGTAGGTTGGGGATTTCTGTCTTCTGGCTAAAATGTGGCCTGGACTCCTGCAACTCTACTTAGGAAACTTCACCAAGAAGGGTTACAAGGCCCCTTCAGGATAAACTGGCTCGGTGGCACAGCCACAATGGTGGCCTCCTACCCACTCATTTGGCTCGCCAGTCCAGGTAGCACATGATTCTAGATCTAGGTGTAGCTTAAAAAGTTACTCTTAGCCAGGCTCAGTGGCTCAGCCTGTAATCCCGTGCCTTTGGGAGGCTGAGGTGAGTGAATTGCCTGA